TGCTCGTCAGCGGAGCCTGGCTCTGCCCTCGGCACCGCGCATCCCCGCGATCGATGCGCGGGGCACGGGGAGGGCATTGATTCCCCTCCTCCAGGGACCCGCTTCCCTTTTGCTATTAAACACGCTTTGTCCTTAATGAAACCGAGCAATCAATCTACATCATGCAGGAGGAAGGGAAATAGCTGGGCTCGTTTGACAGGGATGGGCTGGGAAGTGTTGTTAGACACCGTGTTTGAACTGCGCTTATTATTGGATTCCTCTCCCGTCGCTATCAGCAGAACACATAATCTTCAGCTCCTCTTTATTTATTTTGATTGTTGCTGCCGTGAGCGTTCGAACCTCAAAAAGGAGGCGGCGGAGGGGGGACCAGCCCGGTCGGGCTCGCTCCTGCAGCATCTCCCGCTTGTCTCCAGAGCTGAGCGGGGCTAAACTCTGCCCTGCCCGCGACGGTGGGACGAGGCAGTGAGCACACCAGCCGCCGGCCTCGTGCCGGGGGGGACACGGAGGCTGCAGGCGGAGCTGTGGGAGCCACCACCCCCCTGGTTGTCCCCTGGGCAGGGTGCTGCCGGGCAGAGGGGATGCGCAGCCCTCCCTGGGCGCCGCCGCGTCCAGGCGAGGGTCTCGCACCTGGGGAATCGCCCGGGACAAGGCAAGGAGAGAGCGGCGCTGGCTGGGGCGGCCCCCTTGCTGCCTGCCCTCCCCAGCCAAGCGCTTGATTTTCTGGCATCGGCAGGCGTTCCTCTCAGGGCTTCTCCCCTCCTCATCCAGCCTCTGCTTTCCTGAGTTTCTGCTCCCCTCCCTGTCAGCTCTTTAATTTATCCCTCCGACTGATGAATCGAAACGAGTGACTTCAAACACCACACTTCAGTAAGGCGCGGGTACAAAGTCGAGGCGATTAATCCCGAGCGAGCGTGCAGAAGTCTCGGAGCCTGAACTGTTGCCTTGTCCCCGCTATCTGCTGTAATTGCATCCCAGGACAGGTTGCTTGCTGACTTGAATAGCACGTAACCTTATTATGCATGTGCTTTTACGGTTCCTGGAGACCTCGCAGCCTTTGAAAAGGTTTGGATGAATAGGTAGACGAAGCGCCACAGCCAATTAAGCATTATATGGGGCTCTTTGTTTTGTTTCTTTTTTGGATTTTTGTTTGTTTAGTGAAATGTCAGGCCAATTAAAGTGAGATCAGCGCCGGCTTTCCTTGAAAGTCAGGCCACTGCGGACGGAGTTAAATGAAAGTTAATCAGAGCCCAAACAAAGCGCGCCAGCGGTCGGTCAGCGGGGCATGGGGGAACAGCTGTGGCAGCCAGCCCACATCTGCACACCCCTTTCCCCGATGCCGCGGTGATGGGCTCCGGGGAGCGAGCCCAGACAGCCAGGTGATGCAGCAGATGAGCGCGTGCGGTCCTGGCCGAGGGCCTGCGGACCCGCCGGTGCCAGAAGGAGCTGGCTGCTGCTTGTGTCAGGTGGTGGGCAAGGAAAGCCGCCCAGCTTTGCTCGTACCAGCGTGGGAATGTAACCCTCGGGGCCGCGGCCATGCCCAGCCCTTGCTTGCCGTGCAGCCTGTGGGGCTGGGGCTTTCCCGTCCCTGGGTGCCCCCGGCGCAGGCGAGTGTCTGGGTGCAGGCAGCGGCTTGCTGCCTTGCCGGGGCAGCGTGCCCTTCCCTGCTTCGGAGGGAAACTCGTTAGCACCCGGTCAGGTGTATCGCGGAGCGAAAGGCGGCGGATGCTGGAGGCCGGGAGCGTGCGCCCAGGGGGACGGCTCGCTGGGCTGAGCGCAGGTGAGGAGACCGCCAGCGCGTGATAAATGCCATTTAGCACACGGCTGCACGCCTCCCCGGGGGGGTGTCGAGAGCAGAGCGTGAGGGATGGAGAGGGTCATGTCCTCGGGGGGGCCCCGTGGGCTGTGCCGGGGCTGCCGGAGTGGCGGGCAGCGCTCGCTGGAGAGGGGGCTCCTCTGCTCGCACCTCCCCGGCACCACCATGCCGGGGTGAGCGGGTCCGGCCAGGGGGCTGGGAGAGGGGCAGCTGCCCGCACGTTGCGGGCACGGGGACGGACGTGTTTGGAAGTTCGCTGCCGTACAGCAAGAGTATAACTGATTGCCTCCATGCAATTTGAATTAATCTCATGCTTCAGGTGAAACTCAGCTAATCAGTGTAGAAAGGAAACTGAAATGGGTGCAATCAAATTACCATCACAGAGCCGGCTCCAAACAAGAAAGAGGGGGGCGAGGGAGGCAGGCACAGCCCGTGTCACCCTTGTCACCGTTCTCATTCAGTTGTCACGGCTGTCGGCTCCCTTTGGCGCCAGCCTTATCTCTGCCCAGCAAGTGGGATGAGCCTCTTGTTGGGGCCTTGTTAACAAGGCCCGTGGGCACGGGGGGAGCGCGGCAGGGGCGGCTGAGCGGGCTGGGCGCAGGGAGCACGGGCGGGTGCAGAAAGCGTTGGAGGCAAGCTCTCCTCGAGGGAAGCCTGTCTGCACAGCAGCGCTGACCTGGGGCTCTGGCTGATGCTCGGGCAGGCAGGAACCAGCGTTACTGGTGTCCCTGCACCCGGGGAGGGAGGCGTGCACCGGCCGGGAGCAGCCTCCGGCAGCCCTCGGAGGGTCCCGCAGCCGGTCCCGGGCGATGCTGTCCCTCCGCAAGCAGCAGAACCGCTCCAGGGTGGGTGCCGGGTGCCGCCTCTGTGCCCCGGCCCGTGCTGTCTGCACAGCTGGTTGGGGTTTTCTTTTGGTTTGTTTTGCTGTTTCCCCCGCTCTGGGCTGCTTGCCGCTCTCCTGGGATCCCGGCAATTGAGAGAAGTTGATATGTTTACATCCAAGGAGCTGCTTTTAATCGAACATCAATAAGTGCATTTCAGCGAAGCGGAGCCTGAAATGGAGCTCCTCTCCTGGGGCCGCCGCTCGCCGGGAAGGGGGCCGATGCCTCTGCTGCTGCCGTGGCCCCTCGCGGCTGCCCTCCCCTTTGGCCCCTGTGGGACCCGCCCAGCCTCTGCGCCGCACCGGCCTCCACCCTGGGCTAAATGAAGGCTGAATGCAGGGAAGCAGCCCCCGGTGCCCCCCGCCTGCCCCACTCTGCAGGGTGGCCTCTTTGTGGCCTTCTCGTGGCAGGAGCTGGGGACAGCGGGCGGGAGCCCAGCAAGGTCCCGCCGTAGTGCCAAAACCGTGTGCCGAGACCCTAACCCAGCTGTGCGTGCCCTCGCAGCCAGAGCGGCGGTTGGCCCCGAG